CCTCAAAATTTCAGCTTTCTAGCTTTTCTGGTTCCCGAGTTAACGATTTTCCCGCCAAAACTTTCATACCTTCGTACGGGTGCCTTGATTTGCATGAGGGTTGGTACCACGGTCCTGGGGTAGCGCTTGGCCGGGGAACCCAACGGCAAAATTTTGGTGGTGGAGTTTGCTTGGGTGCCGAATTGAAATATCCGGACAGACACACACATACACATACCGGGGTCATCGCAATATGCTTTTTCGCATATATGCAAATGCAAAAACGCAGAAATGCAACGCTGTGTTCCACTTCTTAAAAAATTTAAGAATATCATTTCTGAAAACGCTCCGACCTCAAGTTCGATTAGGCCTTTGTCCCTTCTTCTAAAGCGACTGCATTTCTGGTATTTTACACAAACGCTTTGCTCCTGCTCTGTTCACAGTTTTTACGTGTCACAGAGCACTTATTCTACGTATCCCCAAATTTGCGAACTTCACACTTGATTAACTTAACTTCAGAAATCAAGCGCTGCCATGTTCTTGGCCCTTCTTCCAGACCAATTGATTGCCTTGCAAAATGAGCATGAGACGAGCAAAGCAAGCAAACTCAAATAAACAGGCCACTTCGAGTTCCCCATTCATTGATAAAATCTTTTATACGCTGTACAGTGTTTCCCAATCCCCGTACAGCATGAAACTACCATTCGAAAAAAGCCACTGAAAGGAAGTATTCGTAAAATTACCATGGCAAAGCTTTCATCAATGAGATGGGCTAAAAGATAAGTACAGCTTCCGACTTTTTCGGAATACGTGATGTTTCAGAACCATCTGCCAAAAGCTTTCAGACAACAGAAACTACTGCTAACAAACGTAATGGGCACATGTGTGATGCTTGCTGCTGCAGATACAATTCAGCAGCACATTGATCACTACATATATCCGAGCAGAAACAGGCATTTTGATGCGAGGAGTGTAGGTTCGTGTTTTCGAATTTCCGGATAACCAGCCTATGCCTCTTTTCAGATGTTGTCCGCTTTATTTGCAAAATAATGTGTACATGGCGAAAATAGCGTAGCTGTCTTTTGTGTTTTGAACATCACTCGGTATCACCAGTAGTGGACGGCCGAACGTCTTTATAGAGTGGCGAGCCGGAATGGAGATAAGAATAGTTAACAAACACCTTTTTTTTTGAAAGTTTTCTCTTGTACTTTAGTCTTCTGGATCATTTAAGTTGTCTGGATTATTGCTACGAAATCCCAAGTACTTCTAGGTTGCAGCCAGATGCAAAGCTCTGCTATCCACGAGATCACCTGGCACTGATCAGTATGCTTTAACTTGCACTTGAAATAGTCGGTGTTCACTGTCTGTCCAAAGACGCGTTATTGAAGTAGCATCAATTTGTTAAATGTTGAACCAGAAATTAGGAACCTTGTATGATTTTGCAGAACGGAGATCTATTCTATTTTTGTCGTCTGTCTAGGAAGGTTTGGGATAATGGGCCTGGTAATGGGACCAATGAGCCATTACTGGTATCTGTGGCTCGAAGGAGCGGTGACGCGTGGCTCAACAGCTTCAATTGTGACCAAGAAAATTATACTTGATGTTGTCATAACGCCAGCTTTTGGGTCCACTTTTGTATGCGGTTAGCATTTTGCCTTTTTTTATGCGTTTTTTGCAGTTATGCAATGCAAAAACGCATATTGACGAGGGGTTGTATGTGTGTCCGTGTGTCTGTGTGTGCTTCTGTCACACATTTTCATCTCAAGACCTACAAAAGCTACAGGGTTGAAACTTTGGGAACTTAATCTACATGCACGTACGGGCCTCAATCCCCAAAATGGGCGCCATTACCCGCATATTGCCCACGTAAGAGCCCGCCAAAATTTTTTCCGAGTAAGTTCATAACTCGGGGATCTGAGAAGCTAGGATGCTGAAACTTTAGAGTGATGTTCCCCGTCCAATTAGGTTTTAATGCACTTAAACCCATCCCCCGGGTAAACGTGGTACCCGCGTACGGATCCGCTAAAATTTTTTTAGGTAGGTTCATAACTCGGGGATCTGAGAAGCTAGAAAGCTGAAATCTAGAGGAGATGTTCCCCGTCCAAGTAGGTATAAAGGAGCTCAAACGCA